CATCCCAAGTTTTAGATCTAACACTCCCTGTTTGTTATCGGTTGCCTGTTGTAGCCTCACATCTAACAAAGACAATTTATTCATCTTCAACTTTTTTATGATTTTGGAACTCTCTTCTTTCTTCTTCTTTTTTTTTTTTTCCTTTTTTTTTTGGTTGTGAACAAATTTTTCTGATCTGGCATCTTCGCTCTCAATTTAAAAAAGGTAAGGTTGCGAAAAAATTTGGTGCCGCCTGTTCTTGATTTCTGGGTTTTATTTGCATTTGATTTATGATCTCATTTGGTAAGTGTACCCTTCAATTGAAAATGACCAAGATTCAATAGTTGAAAATTTTCTGCCTTCTTGTTTACACTATTTTTAAATAGGGAAAGGTTCCTCTCTAACTTTGTTTTCTTCTCTCTCTCTCTCTCTCTCTCATCCGTTTTTTTATGAACTAGTTGCGTGCATCATCTGCATGACCCAATCTAGTATAACAAGAAACAAGCTGATCGCCAATGAACCCATCAGTATAATTGAAAGATTTGATGACGCAGGAGTGAATTGCACGGCAATAGGAGATTGAAGAGCAGGAGCTTACAGCAGAAATTAGATATGAAAGAAGAATGTCTGGATTTGGATGTGAGGGAAATTGGACAGAGGACTGGGGAGAAAGAAGAGCATTGTGAAATCTTTTCTGGGTGAAAAGTTTGCAGAAACGTTGTGGGTTTTGAATTTGATGGAAGTAGAAGAAAGTTCTGGACTTGAAGAGAAATCCGGGGAGAGACTGGAGAGAGGGTAACAGAGATGATGAACAAGAAGCTACTATTATCATCTCCCATCATTCAATCTTTGTTTGCTTGGTGTATTTCTTGTATAGAGTTAAATTAGCGATGGTAGCTGTTGAACCATAAGGAAGGGAAATGGAAATGAGCAAGACGATGAACTTGTCTGTTGTGTGGTAAAAACACAGTTAGCAACAGTACCACAAAAACAAGACGATGAACTTCTCTGGATTATGGCATTCAAAGAAAAGAAATTACTCAAAGTCACTAAAGATAGAGATTGATATGCAGGAAAGAAGAGGCCATAGGGTAACTTCAGGGAAAGTTGGGGTTTTCAGGGGTTACAGGGGTGTTTGCGCTTTGCGTTGAATATTGATATTGCTGTTCAAAGTAGAAATGGAGAAATTTTTAAAAATGTAGTCAATAATGCATATAGAGTAGAAGAAATGTAAGATTAATTTTATAATATATATATATATCTTTTTTATTTTATTTTAAAGTAAGTGTATTTCCATATTTGCATTATTTTTATTGTTTGTTTAAAATATAAAATAAACAAATTCTTCAATAACTCTCTCCTCTCCCTCACGCACCTAAACCCATCTTCTTCATCATACACAACCCACCACTCCAGCCAGCCGCCCTTAGCACAACTGTTGTCCCTTTCCTTACCCCATATAATCTGTATATAATAATAATTCATGGTAAAAAGTAATATAATATTATTTTAGGGTAAATAACAATATAATAACAATTTATCATAAAAGTAATAGAATAATAATTTTACAAATTTATAAATAAACTCAATCCTAGACATGTATTTATAAAAAAAAAAAAAACTCAAATACTATTTAAACATAGAAACACACCCAAAATCAACCACAAAATCAACAATTGTATATTGTTTAGGTGTGTTTATAAATGGGTTTTGAGTGTGTGTCATGATGGGTTTTGAGTGTGTTTATAAAGTGTTTTGGGTGTTGGGTTTTTTTATAATTTCAGCCCCATTTTGTCAATAAACCTTCAATAAACATGTAAACAATCAATAAACCTTCAATAAATATTCAATATCGGAGCAATAACTTGCGAAATACATGCAGTAAACAATCAATAAACCTTCAATAAGCATCCAATATCTAAGCAATAACATGAAATATATATGCAGTCAAACAATCAATAAACCTTCAGTATATGCAAATAAACAATCTATATACACCGAATAATTATGCAATTGTAAAAAAATGTATCGTCTTATTATTGCATCGTATTGGCCTTGAATTGTAATTTTATCATCTTTGTATGACTTTATTTTTTTTAAGTCAGTCTTGGAAAGTTTTTGCTGGGTTTCAGACAAAAAAATGATTTTGTTTCAAACAATAATTTAAACTCAATGCTGATCCACCTATTTCAAGAACAAAAATTACAAAATGGGTTTAAAAACTCATTGGTGGTGCGCGCAACATGTCTTTTTGGGGAGAACTTTTACAATCCTTGAAACTGTGTACTTAATTGGTCATTAAAAGAACAAGTAAGATGAAAATTGATACAAGAAATAAAACTAATACTAAGTCCTTAATGCACTTCAGCACCGTAGCATCATACGTGTCATCTTGTTGTTTTGCTTCAGCAGAGGTTACATCAACCCATTCGAATTCATTGCAACTGGTGGCTCCCTAATTGCAGGCATAGTATATGCAAAATAATTCTGTCAGAGTTAGGCCTAGGTTTTTTTTCACCCACATACATATTCTGGAAATGAAAACTTACATAGGAGATTAGATACTTCCAAAATGGCTTCCCTCGATTTTTATCTAATTTTGAAACCCGAAGCACCATTGCAGCTCCACAGTACCGACACCTCCTTGTTTGAGCTGGAGATGAAGACGAAGACATGTTGAATCTTCTCACTTGTACCTCTTCCCACTCAAATCTTCTCACTAAGACCTCTTTGGACTCATACCTTCTCACTCATAGTTCTCAGTCATACCCCTTCACTCATAACCCTAAACTTATTATTATTATTTTTAATTGATTTTTTAATGATTTTTTAAAGATAAACTTGGAAAAAAAGATAAACAAAATGACATGTGGCGCAATCATACGACGCCACCTGTCGAAAAAAATGACTGCTCTCCTTTCAGCTGCAGCCACATTTGATTCTCTATAATTTAATATTATTTTTCTTGGATTTCACTTCTAAAATTCATTAACAATTAATTAAAAAATAGACAAATACACCGAAAATTGATACAAACTCCTTACAACATTGTCTTTGACTATGAAGGTCTAAAAATCATGATTCCACATATTTATGTTCACGGTAATTGTCGAATCAAAGAACATGAGTGTTATGTTATAAAACATAATTTAGTGTTTTGGTTTGTTTTGAAATAAAGTTGGGTTTTTGTTATCATTTTCAAATTTTATAAGTCAAAATTATATTTTTGGAGTTTGAGGGTGTAGAGAATGTGACAAGAAGTTTGTACCAATTTTTGGTGTATTTTTTGGAATTTTATTTAATTTATTATCAATTTTATAAGTTAAATTCTAGAAAAATAATATTAAATCGTATGGGGAGACATATTGCGGAAGCTGAATGGGGCGCAGTCAGTGTGTTTGATGGCTGTCCTCCTATCATTGAGCCACGTGACAGCTTGATACTTTTATCAAATTTATGTTTAAAAATTCATAAACAATTAATTAAATATCAGAAAAATACACCCAAAATTGTTACAAACTCCTGATAACATTATCTTCAATTATAAAGGTCTAAATCATGATTCCACATATTTGAGTTCACGGTAAGCGTTAAAATCAAAGAACACAAATGTTATGTTATATAACATAATTTAGTGTTCTGGTTTGTTTTGAAACAAAGTTGAGTTTTTGTTATCATTTTCAAATTTTATAAGTCAAAATTATATTTTTCTAGTTTTAGCGCATAGAGAATGTCACAAGAAGTTCGTACCAATTTTCGGTGTATTTTTTTTATTTGTATTTAATTTATTATCAATTTTATAAGTTAAATCCTAGAAAAATAGTATTAAATCGTATGGAGCGACACATGGCGGAAGCTGAATGGGGCGCAGTCAGTGTGTCTCATGGCTGTCCTCCTATCATTGCTCCACGTGTCAGTTTTGATACTTTTTTCAAATTTATGTTTAAAAATTCTTAAAAAATTAATTAAATATCAAAAAAATACACCAAAAATTGCTACAAACTCGTGATAACATTGTCTTTGATTATAAAGGTCTAAAATCACGATTCTACATATTTGAGTTCATGGTAAGCGTTAAAATCAAAGAAGGCGAGTGTTATGTTATGGAACATAATTTAGTGTTTTGGTTTATTTTGAAACGAAGTTGAGTTTTTGTTATCATTTTCAAATTTTATAAGTCAAAATTATATTTTTGGAGTTTGACTGTATTACATCATTGCAAAGTGATATGTGAATGGGGACTGATGACTTTTTAAGTGTATTACATCATTGCAAAGTGATATGTCATAATTTATCCAAGCCACTATTCCAAATATCAGATCCCAAGCTTTAAGTAGTTCGACATGCCTTGACTTAATCGCAAATATGTTGCATCTTAATAAGGTAATTCTGCAAGGGGAATAGGCGGCTATGCCCTCGCCTCCAATGTTTTATTCAACCATACCCTCTTTATAGAAACACATGAAAAAATATCCCCAGCTGTAATGCTATAAAAACTCGGCGTTGGTTCCGTACCGCCCCTCGTATTTGAATCCCTCTCTCCTTTATAATCGGTTAATAAATTCGTTGATTTTCTTTATTTTATTGGTTTTGGGCAGCTCAGTAACACAAAAGTAATGTATATTGGTGTGACTATATTGCATGTCTGTTGCGTCTATATTGCTTGTCTATTGCGTACATATCGTACGTTTATTGCATGTGTATTGATTGTTTATTGCTTACGAAGGAAATTAGCAATACACATGCAACATACAAGCAATATACACACAACATATACACAATATATACGCAATATACATGCAATAGACACGTAATAGACATGCAATATACATCAGTCCCTAATTACACCATACATAAGGAAGTCGCATTGAATAGGAAATTCTACTTAACAGTTGTTCTTCATACTA